TCTTCTTCCTGTTCCAGGCAGGGTCTCTCTTCAAGACCCAGCTGAACAAACCTTCTATCATCCTGATGTCAGGGGAGGGTGGAAAAGTGACACAGGAAAGTGTGGGGAGAAGGCAGATTTGCATCTGGGGATGGTGAACTGCAAAGTCTGAGCTCTTCCCAGCACACTTTACGGCCCCTGAGAACTCTGGGAAGCACAGTTCTGGGCTTGGAGGGCTGAGCTGGTTTTCACCTCGTTTGGAGGCCACTGCAGTTCTAGTGGTGGGCCGAGCTGGCACGCTTTCATTTCCAGTGTTCCAGGAAGGCCATGGCCCAGAGGGACAAGAAGATGCTCAAGAACACTGTCCCTGGGTGGCCAAAGAGGTAGCCCAGCTGCCAGGGAGGGAGAGAAGGCGCACTGAAGAACAGGGCTCAGCACTGCCTCCCCTCACACCAGGCCCAGGCCGGGCCCCAACCGCCTACCTGTTTTCTCGCCCTCTTCCCTGGCTCACCTTGGCCATGCGGCAGATCTTTGAAATATTCCACGTGGCACAGTTCTGTACAGTGGGCACATGAGGAAGGCACCCCCCAACCCCTGGCACAGAATTCTCTGTGAGCAGAGGGTGCCCATCCTGGGAGGGCCTACCCTCAACCAGGCAGCTGATCTGGCCCATCCAGCCCAACCCCCAGCCCTCCTGCAGGCAGTCAAGCCGGTGTGTGTCAGTGCCCATGGTGACAAGGCAAGAGATAAAGACCAGGGTGCCCATGAGGGCAGCAGGCAGCAGCCAGGCTGTGTAGAAACCTGAAGGGGTGACAGAGAGCTCATGAGCCCCCATGTCTGTATGCAAGCCCAGCTGGACTACCTAGCCAGGCAAAACAGATGGCTACCTTCTACCCAAAATACTCTTGTTCGTGGTCCAGGGGCTGGTACTTGTGCCAGCATCCCTGGGAAGCCCAGTATGAGTACAGCAATTGGCCAGGGTCGAGATCTGCATCAGGCCCCTAGTACCCAGGCAGTTCAAAGAGGCCCTATGGGGGCACAAGGAGGAAGAGCTGCAGGGAAGTTTAAGAATTCTCTCCTGGTGCCCCAGCAGTGCCGTGCTGTCAGGCCTGGGAGAAATCTGAGCTTGGGACATCTCCACCAGCAGGTGGGCAACGCCCATCTCTGCGTGTTTTCCTATAGACTGTGCAGGGGCGGGGGAGGGGCCAGGATCTTTGCCACCTGCCAGGAGGAACCCTGGCGTCAGCTCTGCCCCCTTAAGGCCCCAAGCAGCCTCCTCGCCACTCCCGCTGAGCGTTGGAGAAAGAGGAGTTGTGGGAATCGCTGCCAGGCATCTGTGAGCAGAGCAGGGGTCAGAAGCCCGGCCCTCTGCCCAATCCGAAACCTAAAGCGGCGGGAGTCCAGAGTCTCTCAGCTGGGGACAGGGGGGATGAGACATGCCAGCTGCTAATGTCAGAGAGCCTGTCTACCCAGCAAGCTCAGCCTGGGCTGGCTGTGTTCCAGGAGGGTAGGCGTCTGGACGCGGGGGTGGGGGACGGCTGGAACACAACGGGACCCCAGGCGGCGGCAAGGACAGGGCCAGAGACCTGACGCGGGTTAGGCTGGAGCTGTCTCTCAGGCAGGCCACAGAAGAGCAAAGGCTCTTAACTGCACTAAGCCTGCGGCTGGCGCCCACCCCGAAGCGCACCTGGCCCGCTTGGAGCCGCGGAAGGCGCAAGTGCAAAAGTCCCGCGGCTTGTTAGGCACTTGCAGCTGCAGAAGGTTGCGCAGGCGCAATAGCTCCGCCCCAACCGTCGGAGTTCGGATTGGGCGGGGCCTGGGGGACAAGAGGAGGGTCGCCGGCAACAGGAGAGACTCCGCTCCCGGGCTGACCCCGCTCCGCCCCTCCCGCCGGCCACGGCGCGCGCAGGCGCGGTTCCTCGGCGCAGAGCACCGTGCACCCCTCCGGCGCGCTCGGCGTGGCGCAGTGCACCGCGCTGGCTGCCGGCCTGCGCGCCGGGGCCTCGGGTAGGCCGGACCCCCAACCTACCCCTCACGAGCTCGGCCGCGAGGTGACTGATCCCATTCCTCGCCTGGGTCCCTTCCGCCCTCCAAAGCGCTTTGACACACGTTTCCTCATTTGCAATTCAAACGAGGAGGGAACTAACAGTCTCATTTTACAACCGTGGAGACAGACTCCGAATGGGCCGGTGTCATGTAGTGACTGCTCTTTCCCCTTTATTGGGCGCCTCCAATGTGCCAGGCCCTGGACCGAGAGCTTTACACACTTTGCGCATTTAACCATCGCAGCCCCCTAAGGCGCTGACGTCGCCTGCACAGTTCACAGAGCTCATTAGGGAAGTCAGCGCTGGGCCTCGGCCTGTGCAGTCGCCTCCTCCAGGAGCAGTCGCCCCCTCTCCGCCCGCCTCAGGGGGCGCAGCTTCTCCTCCCACACGAGCGACAAGAGCACCAAGTCTGTCCCATCGCAGGGTCGGGGGACAGCTAGAAATGGTCTGCCCCACCTGTCCCACTTCCATCCTGGGTGGGGATCCAGGGCTGGGTTTATCGGTCCCACTAAGGACAAAATTAAAGGAAAATTGCGCTGTAGCAAGAGGGATTAGTGTTAGTTCGAAGGAGGAACGGTCCATTGCAAGAAACGGACAAGAGAGACCGTGGGATTCCAGGGGAGGGAGGACCACACCTTGGCTCCTCTGGGCGTCTGGGCGCGGTGGAACCAGTGTCCTGTCTGGCCCAAGACTCACCAGTTTTGATTTTCCCATCGCAGAAAAAAGTTGCCCCTGGAGTTCAGGACATAAATGCTGCCGCAGGATGCAGAGATACAATCACCCGGGTCCCTGTCCCAGGCGCCATCCTGGGGTCAACAGGCTTGGGGGTGAGGGTATGGGGCGCAGTTGCAGGTGCCAGAAGCTTCTCAACAGGCCCAGGTGGGCCTCCTCTCCTTCCACCCACCAGCTGCCCACCCCTGACGAAATATAAAGTGTAAAGGTGCAAGCGCTGTCCACGCAATCTGGGACCCTTTTCCTCCTCTCCACCGGCTCTCAGCCCTAGAACTGCCACCAGGCCTCTAGTAAGAAGGGGAACGATGACAGCCCGCATTTATGTGGGCCCTTAACTTGGTGTTTGGCACGTGCAAAACATTTTACTCCCTTCTCCAATCTTCCAAGTCAGGGTTCACCCCCTGAGCCGGCCTGGGGGCCATCACCACCACCCCTAGTGGAGTGAGTTGAGTCAAGGGATATTTTTGCTTTTGAGAAGCTGTTGTGTGGCTTGAACTAATAGTGGCATTTCTGGCACCAAAATGGGAAGAAAGTGACTTCCTGATGGACTTTGGACTCTGCAGAGGCAGCCTCTGTCTCTAAGCCCCTGAGAAAAAGAGCTTTATCTGGAGCCCAGACTTCCTCCCTGGACAACGTGCGCAGGTCTTGCTACATAATTTGCGGGGTTCAGTGCAAAATGAAAATGAGGGGCCCTTGTTCAAAAATTATTAAGAATTTCAAGATGGCGACAGCAGAGCATTAAGCCAGGCGTGGGGCCCTCTGCATGGGGAGGCCTGTTTGACAGCACTGGTCTCAGCCGGTGAAGTCGCATAAATACAGGCTCATGTGCACACACTCTCTTCTCACCTACTCTCCACCGGGCCCAGGAGGCGCAGCCACGGGCTGTTAGAAGAATTCTGGCTCTGCCCAGTTCTGCTCCCCCTTGGTGGAGGCCCCTGTGTAGGGGGGTGGCCTGGTAAATATTGAGGGCGCACTGGAGTGGGCTGGGTAGAGCCCTGGATGGCCAGTGGCCGGTGCCTTTCCACTGTGTTCTCACCAGGGAGACTCGGAGGGAATGGTTCACCTCTTGGCTTGGAGTGAAGGTGGGTGAGCCGGGTGGTGCTAGCTGGCCTGCCTTGCAGTGGGAAGATCCGGGTTTTTTCTCCAGAGCAGCTTTCCGGCTCTTGCCTGAGCTGGTGCCCTGGAAGGATGGGCAGTCTCCTTCCCAGCGGCGTTCTGCGCCAGACACACCTGACTGGATGTGAAGCAGCTGGTGCTCAGACACAGTGCCTGCGGCTGGAGGCACAGCCAGGCCCTACCCCGACAGACGCTCTGTGCCTGCGGGAGTGAGGTGAGGCCCACTGGGGTTAGGGATGAGGGGACGGCCGGACAGGTGTGGCTGCAGGGGGAAGGCCTGTGGCGCCGTGGCAGGAGCAGCCTGCAGGCTCTGAGGCTCACGGTCCTGCCCAGGGACCTTCCTTCTTGGGATACCGGGTAGGCTCAGGGTCGGGAGTGGGAGGAGTTGGGAGTGGGAGGAGCTGAAATCCATCTTCCTCTGGCCAGACCCTGGAAGGGTTGACAAACCTGGGGGCAGTGCGCAGATGTATGGGCATCAGGACAGGTGACATGCGCCACAGGAAGAAGAGGGTGAGTGCCCTGTGTGCCGGGAGGGGGAGGTGGGGGCGGGGAAGCGCTGCAGTCCGGGCACTGGTGCGCCTGAGCTCATGATCACGTGGGGGTGTGGGCCGTGCAGAGCTGCCAGGCCACCTTCTCAACAGAGTGATCCAAGGGCAGCAGGCTTTGGGGGCACTCTGCTTGGGGTCAGACTCAGGCCAGGCCTCAGCTTAGGGATCCATCTGTGCGGCAGGTCAGAGTACAGGGTGAGAGTGTAAAGGTGCCCTTCCCAGCACCTTCCCCTCCCCTGCCCTCTGTCTCCGGCTGAGCATGTCCCCAGGGGCAAGGCTGGCACAGGCCGGGTCTGCTCACCGACCTCCCTGCTCCTGTCCTAGCTGGCTTCTCCCAGCGCAGAGCTGCCGGTCAGGCTGGCCCACACCTGCGCCCCCACCAGGTATGGTCCTTGGCCCTGCCCAGTCCTGCTTTCTGATGCCCTGGGCTGGCAGGGCCCCTGTCCTAAGCCAGGCCTGGCAGCTCCGAGGTCAGGCAAGGCGCAGCAGAGTGATAGCTTGCCTCCTGGACACACAGGCGGGCACTGTTTCCCAGCCCCCACAGCTCCTTGTGACCACATGGCCGGTGCTGGGTGCCCGTGCTGGGTGCCCGTGCTGCGTGCTGGCCATTGGAAAGTGCACAGAAATGAGCGCACTCCCAGGCCTGGTCACAGAGACCTTCTGGGTGGCCTTCCGCTTGCACTCATCCCCCTCTGCTGACTAGATGCTGATGCCCCAGGGCAACCTGGGGCTCCGAATGGGTGTCTGAAATGGAGCGCCCCCCAACCCCTTCTTGCGGTGAGACCTGAGCAAGAAAAACCACTTCCACGGATCTCAGGGTTTATCTGTTGCGGCAGATGGCATCACATCAACTAATCCGGTGCCTTGATTGAAGCCGCTTGAGGTCCAGGGCCCTGCTGAGGCAGCCCCCTCCCCAGTCACCCTCCAGGAAGGGCAGCGGAGGCTGAGGAGACCCCTACCCGGCCTGTGCCCTGCCTCAGTGCCCAGTACTTTGTGGGGAAAGCCCAACCGGGGTGGGCCCTTCTCAGACCACATCTTCCTCTGGCCCGTCCTCAGGATGGGGTCAACATCTGTGCCCAGCCTTAGGCCTGGGGTCCTGCCCTCCATCCTGGGCCACCTGAGGGTTGGCAGTGGGATCACAGGTGCCCACTCATGGCGCCAGCACGCTTCACCTGGGGGCGTTCTCTGGGGGGTTGGGAAGCAGGCCAGCTGTCACTTGGTCCTGGTGCCACAGTTGCTCAGCAAGGCCATTGAGCACGTGGGCAACGTCGGCCAGCCCAGCCCGCCCGTCCAGCGTGCGCCCATCAGCCAGCCGCCGCCCCGGCACACTCTTCACCCGCAGCAGGGGCAGCTCCCAGGCCTGCCGGAAGGCCGTGAGGTCACGCTCCGGCACATCCGTGTGCATGTACTGGTCGAATCTAGAGGAGGGTCAAGGAGCCTGGCTGGGCGCCTCTGCTCACTGTCGCACCAGAGCCAGCCTTCCCCTGCCCCCGCAGCCCCACACACAGGGTCTGGGACAGCCATGCTGTGCCCTTTATGCAAGAGCCCATGGGCTGTGCTCCACGGCTAGGCAGAGGCTGGGTCAAGGACCCTTGACCCCCTGGTCCTGTGCCTTGCCAAGGGTGGCTTCTGATAGTCCCAGGGGCCACCCAAAGGATACTTGGAGCCGATGACCATCTTGACAACACCTGGGGCCTCGCCTGCGACACGGGCCAGCTGCCCAGGGAGGTCTTCGAAGGAGGTGCGGTCCGTGAAGGAGAAGAGGAAGAGGAAGGCATCTGTGTTCTCCTTGCAGGCCTGGGATGGAGGGGCACGGAACCATGTAACCACAGGCCCAGAATCCTGCGAAGTCAGTAACAATCCCACCTTTCACAGATTGGGAAACTGAGGCCCAGGGCAGGGAGTGGCAGGTCCTAGGGCAGAGTATGGGCTGGGACTCAGCCTCTACTGCCAGCTCAGAGCTCTACCACCCGAGGCAGTACTCTCAGCAAACTAACACCCAGCTTAGCCCCTGCACACAAGGCAGGCCCGGCCCAGACATCTGTACTAGACGCTGACCTCAGCCAGGCAGTCCCTCCCCGAGCCCACCGGGCCCCGCCTGCTCACCGGGAGCATGTGGTCGAACTTTTTGAGCGCAGACTCCCCGCAGTCCCAGAACTCAAAGCGGAACATGATGACACAGTTGCTGGCCTGCAGCTTGGCCGGCCAAAATACCACGGTGGTCTGGATGCCTACGGAGAGCCAAGGCAGCCACTCAGCATGGGAGAGGAGGACGTGGAGAAGGGTGGGGGCCAGGAAGGAAGAGGAAAGAGGGGTAGGTACATCCCTGCTGAGTTCCCAGTCTGATGGGGAAGGCACAGTCCCTAACCCGGAAGAATTTGCAGTCTGATGGGGGAAACAGAAACTTGGCCAGGAGGAGCCTTGGAACAGCAGGAGGACAGAACCCTGGCCATGAACAAGCAGCTGCTGTATGCACAGGGAGACCCAAAGGTCCTGGGACACTGGGGGATGGTGCAACAGGATGGATCTGTGAGTATCCAGTGGAAAGAAACAACAGAGGAAGGTTAGCGCTTCCTGAACACCTACCTTGGGCCAGCTCGATGTTGGGCATGTGAACACCACTATCTCTAGTACCAACCCCACAACAGCTTCATGGGGTTAGTACCATTATCCTCTTAGGACAGAGAAGCCCATGTAGGCTCAGAAAGGTGAAGTGATATTCCAAGGTTGCAGAGTAAGTGGTGGATCTGGGTGTCAACCTTGCTCATGTGGTCCAGGGCCAGGCTCTTACCTCCACCCCAGGGAAGACCTTCCAGGATGGGCAAAGGGTTGGGGCCCCACTCACCAGTGGTCTCATGGTGTACCACGGGCACCTCCAGGCCAGCCAACTTGGCCACCATTGCCGTCTTGCCCACACCACTCTTCCCAGACACGAAGATCTTGTAGCTGGCAGTGTCGATGGCCACAGGTGGGGGCAGCACTGGCCGCTCAAGCAGCCCTGGGGCAAAGAGGGAGCCAGGTGGGATCAGGGGGTGCTGTGGCCTGAAAGTGTCCCTCAAAGTTCATGTGTTGGAAACTCAATCCCCAATGCAACAATGTTGGGAGGTGATGAGGTCATGGGGGTTCTGCCCTCACAGATGGATTAATGTCATTATCTCAGGAGTGAGTGAGTTATCTCGAGAGTGGGTTTATTATAGAAGCAAGTTTGGCCCCTTCTTGCTTTCTTGCATTTGCCCTGTTTCACCCTTGGGCCCTCTGCCACAGGATGACACGGCACAAAGGCCCTCACCAGACACTGGCGCCATGCTCTCGGATTTCCCAGCCTCCAGAACAACGAGCTAAATAAATTTCTGTGCATTGTAAATTGCTCAGTCGGTGGTATTCTGTTACAGCAGCATAAAACGGACTACCACAGGGGATCAATCCCATACTTGCACCATCACATCCTAGGCTGGACAACCTAATTTTAAGTGCTTCTTCAGGGCTAACTAATCACCCCTGGCTCTCAATACTCATCCTCACTTCAGAGGCCTGACACACAGAGACTGGCCTAAGTTCTGACAGTCAGTCTGCTGACATTTATTTATCAGCTGCTCTCAACCTTTATTGGGGGGCCTGGGTGACACCCATTGGAAGACACACTGAGGTGAGCATGCCCAGCTGTTAACAAACCCCCCCAAATATCTGCTGGTAAGTAAAACACTGCAAAAACTCAACAGCACCACTACCATTCCTCTAAGTTATGGATGCTTGGTACTTGATAATGTGGCATAAATAACATGGTCAGCGGGCTCTTTGTGATGCCCAGAAAAATCACTCTACTTTCACTCCACTCTCTCCCACTCAGCACAACTAAAACATAATAAACATAGTAACAGCCAACCTGAGTGAGCACCGTGTGCCAGACGCCGCTCAGTGTGTTATATTAATATCCCCAGCAACTCTATGTAAATACTATGATTATCCCCATTGTACAGAGGTGGAACCTGAGGCGAGACTCCACTCATTCACGGCCACACAGCTGTGCTGGGGACTGGGTCAAAACTGGCTGTGTGTGACCGCAAATCCGGTGTTCCCATTCACCGTGGGATGTAGAGGGATAATGGCCATATTAGGGGGTCATATTTTGAATCTTTTCTAATTTCTAAAATAAGTATAAAAAGAGTCGAATTATTCACAAACGTTGGTCCTTTAGCTGTCTTGTTCTCTGGCCTTAAGCCTTCTGCCACTTTACTTCTCGCGCCCAAGCTGGCTCTCACAGCTGATGCCAGCCCTCTGCTGTCAGCGGGGCCCTGCCTGGGTGAGCTGGCTCCGTCCTGGAGAACGCCGGGGTCTTATCCAGAGACAGCAGGACATGGAAGAGGCTCACTTCTGTTTACTCGCGTGTGATCTCGGCTACGTCTATAAAACGTGCTGTTGAGAGGTTAAATGGGAGTCCATTGTGTGAAGTGCCCAGCAGAGGGCCTGGCACCAGGTGAGGGCTCAATGGACAGCATCTCTGGTGACAGTGGCTGCTGGCAGGGTTTCGGCTGTTTCCATGTTCCTGGCTCTGATGATGGAATTAGCTCTAAGATTTGGGGTGGGGGCCCCAGGGATGGGGCTTCCAGGAGTCCCCAAGGCTGAAGAGTGCAGTGGAGCAGGCCCTTGCCGCCCAGCTTCTCTGCTCCCCCAGGGAGCAAGAGGTGACGCGGTTCTCCCCCGGGAGCGAGACAAGTGATAGCCTGGGGGAGGGGCACTTACCAAAGACCCGCCGGCGGTTCTTGCGCAGGATGCAGGCCAGGTACTCCTTGCCCTCGGCACTCTCATGCCAGGCTGGGGCAATCACTGAGCCGGGCGCAGGAGGTCTGGCCATGGCGGAGCAGCCCGGGGTGGGAGAATGCTGAGAGCAGGGCGTGGAAAGAGGGGTAACTGTCCGAAGCCGGGCCTGCGGTCCCTCCTAGCCCCCCACTGTCCCGTGGAGCCCCGGCGCACCCGCGCAGAAGGTGCGGCTCCACAGCCCCCTCTCCCGCGCCGCTGCTCGGGACGGCCGTGCCGTTATTGCCCTGCGAGGGTATTTCCGCAGCCCCTCTCCCCGCGGGGCTCGCACAGCCCTGCTCCTCCCCTGCCTCCTCGATCCCGAGGCCACCCCGCAGTCACCGCCAGCAGCCCCGCCGCGAGCCAGCCCGCGGGGAGAAAGTGTCTTGAGAGGCCACCCCGCGCCCGCCGTCCGGCCCGCGGGCTGCTTCCGCCCGGCCTGCGTCCGGCTTCGGCGCGCGTGCGGAGGCGCATGTGCGGGGCTGTTGCCATGGACACGCAGGGGGCGGGGTTGAGCTGAGGGCTCGGAGCGGTGTTCGACCCTTCCGCGGCGCCTGCAGCCGGCGCTGTGCGGTGGCGCTGGCTCGGGCCCTTCCCAGCTGGGCTGGGAGTCCTCGTCACCACCGCGTCCCAGCCCCCGTCCTTCCTCCACAACTTGAGCAGTCCCCCTCTCCTGGAGCCTTCCACGGAAGCCTCTGGGTCTCAGTCTCCTCTTTTACAAAGTGGATGTAAAATGCTGTCCCACCTAGGGTTTTTTGTTTTTTGTTTTTGAGAGTCTCGCTTTGTTGCCCAGGCTAGAGTGAGTGCCATCAGCCTAGCTCACAGCAACCTCAAACTCCTGGGCTCAAGCGATCCTCCTGCTAGGATTACAGGTGTGAGCCACCATGCCCGGCCTCACCTGGGGTTCTTTATAACATTGCTTGGTCCCCAGCTGTGCTCAGTAAGTTTCCTGATCCTTGTTGCTATTACTAATATTGCTTGGCAATAATTAATAATATTAATCCTGCTTGGCAGGACCTCGAGGCGACTTTAACACCTCTGGCTTCATTGGTGGGGAAACAATAGCTCAGAGAGGCCAAGGGACTTGTTTAAGATCTTAAAAGTGAGTTGGAGGCCGGGGGCGGTGGCTCACGCCTGTAATCCTAGCACTCTGGGAGGCCCAGGTGGGCGATTGGTCAAGGTCAGGAGTTCGAAACCAGCCTGAGCAAGAGTGAGACCCCGTCTCTACTATAAATAGAAAGAAATTAATTGGCCAACTAATATATATAGAAAAAATTAGCCGGGCATGGTGGTGCATGCCTGTAGTCCCAGCTACTTGGGAGGCTGAGGCAGCAGGATTTCTTGAGCCCAGGAGCTTGAGGTTGCTGTGAGCTAGGTTGACGCCATGGCACTCACGCTAGCCTGGGCAACAAAGTGAGACTCTGTCTCAAAAAAAAAAAAAGTGAGTTGGAGACTCCCTGGATTGTACCTTCCATCCATTCATTCATGCATTCGTTCGTTTATTCAACAAGTTATTACTGAACACCTACCATGTGCCTAGCCTGTCTGGGTGCTGGAATACAACCGTGAACGACAAGTCCCTGCCCTCTCGGGAGCTGGCTCCCCAGCGCTGGGGCTGTGGGCTGCCTGCTCTGTTCCAGCACTGGGCGCTGGGGCTGTTGCCCACAAGGTTGGGCGCTCAGTAAATGCCAGTTAGTGGGCCATTACTGAGAGGTTGTCTATTACATTTAATTTTTACCATTATCTTCTTGCATTACGTAGGGCAAATCACGGGTCTGTAAGGAATAATCTATGAGTAAACCTTTATTGAAGGCCACCTAAGTGCCAGGCAGTGGGGGCTTAATAGAAGTTACCTTGCTTAATTCTATAAACAAACCTGTGTAAACAGTAATACCCTCTTTTCTTTTAGATGAAGACCCTCAGAGACATAACATGAGCTGCGTGAGGTCACGCCACACCACTTGTCAGTGGGAACATTAGACTCAGAACCCAGGGTTACCTGACTCTAAAGTACATATCTGTTCTGCCAGATTGGGTTTTGTGTTTTAAAAACATTGCTGCCAGCCACTAAGAGGGCTGTTCCTCATGAAGCCAAAAGCAGCCAGAAGGCCACGAACCCACAGATTTTTGAGGCCCATTATGCTTTTGAGACCGGGGAGGGGACGAGAATGTGTAACACAGGGTCCTTCCCGCAACCGGCTTACCCTGCTGATAGGTAGAAATACGACAAGATGAATAACCATTCCTACAGGACTGTGCAGCTTGAGTCCCTTGCCCGGTCACATGGTTCCTGTTCCTGCAGCTCTTACCACATCTGCCCAGAGTCAGGGTCATTCACAGCTGTGCACAGGTCTCTCTGTGACCCAGAAAGGCCTCAGTGGCAGGGCTTGGGTCTGAATTATCTCTGGGTTTCCAGACTTCACATCCAGCCCTGCCCTGGGTTGGCATATGGAAGGCTCAGTGAGGGTGTGAGAAAATGAAGCAACTTGGCAGAATGAGCTGGCCAGTTAAGCTGGGAGCCGGATAAGATGTAGAGTCCTCTTGGGCACAGAGAGGGAGGTGGTCAGAGGAGCTAGCGGCCAGAGGGTTAGAGGACTCAGTCTTTATTGCCCTCAGTGAGCTCATGGAGAGGACACCCAACAATATCAGCCTCCAACTCCCAGAGATTCTGCAGGGGCGGGGTGGGGGCTGTGAGCCGGCACGTTTGACAGCACTGCAGTTGGGGTCCGGGTCCGCCCAGGTTGCCATGACGGAGTACCGTGGAGTGGGTACTCTAAACAACAGAAATTATTTTTTTCACAGTTCTAGACGTTGGAAGTCCAAGATCAAGGTGCCAGCATAGTTGGTTTCTGGTGAGGCCTCTCCTGATGGCTTGCAGATGGTCACCTTCTCAGTTGTGTGTTCGTACTAGTAATGTTTTGATTATTGTAGTTCCATGGCCCTGTGTCTTCGCCCTCTCTGATGTGGTGCATATTTCATATCTTTTGTTTTTTTTTTTGTTTTTGAGACAGGCTGAGATCTCACTTTGTTGATTGCCTCAGTGTAGTGATTGCCTTGGCGCACTATGAGCTGCTACTAGCAACTTTCTAACTCCTGTGTGTCTCAGCATCCTGATTTGCCTGTAGTCGAGCCTCCGTATAGTAACTGGGACTACAGCATCCATTTCTACTGATTTTGTTTTTAGGCCTCGGCTATTTGTTTCGCGATATATAAGTGTATAGTTTAGTTGGCCAATTAATTTCTTTTCTATATTTTTATTAGTTAAGCAAGGGTTACTCAGCGCAAGTTGCTCAGGCTGGTGCTTGAATCTCTGACCTTATATCGAGCAATCCGTCCCGCCTCGTGTCTTTCCATCAGAGTGCTAGGATTACAGCGTGACCACCGATATTGCCCACACTGCTTCTTCTTAATATGTGACACCAGTCCCGTACTTTATTTGGCCCCACCCTTTATAACCTCATTTTACCTCTTAATTAGCTCCTTAAAGCCCTAGTCTTACCAAATTAGTCACTATTGGGGCCAGAGCTTCAATGTACGGATGGGGGCAACAACGGTCCCATAAGCAGGGTCCATAGACCTCCCTTAGAGAAACACCACTGCTGGGGACAGGACGCCAGCCAATTGTAGGGGCCTGGGAATGACATGGTCAGAACTGTGTTTCAGAAGGATGCTGTGGACCATCTTCGTCTAGTGAGTTCTACTGTCCTGCGCCCCTCTGACTACTAAAATGTGGTCCCCTAAGCAATTTGATTCTCCTTGTAGGGCCCCAGCAGCAGGTGCATGTAACGATCTCCTACAGGCCCTTCTAGTGTGCAGCCCTCTGATTAATCCACTCATTTCTTCTTGGTCTCCCCACAAATATTTATTGAGCACTTTGTGGCCAACGTCCCCACAAGGACTTGGGAGGAGGACTCCTGAAGGCGAACACACACACACACACACACACACACAGGCCTGAGCTAGGTGAGGGCCGATGAGAGTGAGGCATGGGGAGCCCTGCCTGAGGATCCTAGTGGGAGGGGCAGGGATAGGACACCAGGCTTAAAACCCTCTCGTGGCTTCTCACTGCATCTAGAATAAAGTCTCTCTTCCCTCACCGTGGCCTGGCATAGGGTGTGCTCATGAATATTTGCCAAGTACACGTCCTCTACTCCAGCCTGGATGCATGCTCTGACTCCCAGCTGGTCCCTCTACCAGGCTCGCCCCCTTCAGGCCATTCTGCAAGCTGGAGCCACAGCCAATTAGTCAAGTCAGGTCAAGGGCACTGAGCTGGTTGCCAAGCTCAGGGGCCAACTCGCAGTCCTGAGGTCACCTGACACGGGGCTGGCTCCCAGTGACGGGACAGATGGTAGTGCAGCTAAGTGGCAGGAAAAGCAGGAGGAAGAGCAGGCCAGAAGGTCAGAGGAGGAGCTAGGGGAGTGAGGGCTGCGGGGGGGCTGCCTGGAGAGGACACATGGCAGATGTTGGCATGAAAACACAGGTGAGTGTAATTAAAATATTGTGGGGGGGAAAAAAAGTGACGTGCAGGTGAGCAGCCTGAGCAGAGGTGAACACTATCAGTGGTGGGCGGACCAAGCCTGAAGCAATGGGTGTGGGTAGATGAGACCAGATGTAGGTGGACGTACAGCAGAGGCTTGGATGCCACCTAGGCAATGACAGCCACTAGCTTGGGCCTAGGAGGGGCAGAGGAACCTGAAACCCCCTCCTCCAGCCCTGGGGCTCCTGTTCAGTGTTGGGGGGACTTACCCAAATGCCAGGGAAGCATAGCTGGGGAGGGGGCGCCCACTCCTCGGACTGTCTTTCCTGGGTCTTCTGCTCCAGAGAGAACTCTCTTCTGGACCTCCGCCATGGCCCCATCCGGGTCGTCTCTGTAAGTGTTCTCTCCTCTACCGTGTATTCCAGTCGGAGCTTCTTCCCTGCTACAGCCGAGAGGATGACCTCATCAGAGCCACACTGGTCACTCTACATTGTCCTCAGCCTGACCACTGGCTGCTGAGACTCGTAGACTTATCAACGCCCTTCATTAGTGACTGCCAGAGGTGAGGCCTGGATCCCACCCACCGGAGACCCCCAGAAAGACTCATGTCATCTGCGTCCACTACAGTTTAGCAGGGTGAGGCCAGGGGCTATCGTCTGAATGTCCCCCAAAATTCATATGTTGAAATTTCCTCTTTTAGAGATGGGGTTTTGTTATGTTGCCCAGGCTAGACTTGAACTCACGGGCTAAAGGGATCTTCCCACCTTAGCCTTCCAAGTTGCCGGGACTACATGCACATGCCACTGTGCCCAGCCAAGTGTTGAAATTTAATCACCAATGTGACATTATTAAGAGGTGGGGCCTTCAGCAGGTAAGTCATGAGGGCAGAGCCTTCACGAATGGGATTAGCACCCTTATCCCATTTGAGGGGGGTTGTTTGCAATTTTGCCCCTTCTGCCATGTGAGGATACAGAGTTCATAGTGGAGCAGCAACAAGACACCACTTTGGAAGTGGAGACTGAGCCCTTATGAAACACCAAACCTGCCAGTGCCTTGACCTTGGACTTCCCAACCTCCAGAACTGTACGAAATACGTTTCTATTGTTTATAAATTACCTAGTCTGTGGCATATAGCAGCACAAATGGACTAAGCACCAAAACAAGGAGAGGACTAACTTCCTAGCTCTCTGGCTTCCGAACAACTGTTCTCCTCCTGGCTGGCTGTGTTGGCTGCAGATGATTCTACTGCAACCTTTCATATCTTTTTAGCATGATACCTGAATTTTTAGCATGATACCTTTGACTGTAGCAGCTCAGGATTTGTCATCTTCGTTCAGCCAATGTGACACCTCCCTGGTTTGTGATTAGATTGTGAGCTCCTCCAGGGGCGGGCCTCTTCAGAGTCATCTGCGTGTCCCAGGGTTGCAGGGTCAGTAGATGCTCTGGGAGTGTTTGCTGAGAATGGTTCTCGGGTCAGTTCCAGGCTTTCCTGGCCTTGCCAAACGGTCACAGCCCATGTCCCAGGGCAGGAGCTGACTCCCTTCTCCCAGGCTGCTGCTGGAAAGGCATCCCTCCTTCTCTTCCCTGCAGTGAGTGAGCAGACAGGCTCTGGTGGGGGTACGACACACTCTGCAAGGACCTTCAGGCATTTACTTAAGACGTTAGCTTGGCTTTGTGCATGCTGACAGGGCCTGGGCCCAGAGCCTGGCTCCACGGGGAAGACATTGACTTTCCCACAGATGGGAGCTGGGGCAGAGAAGGCGGGTGGGCCAACCTGGGGATGGCGCTGGACAGAGGCCAGAGGGTGGTGCTACCCAGCTCTGCTGACACAGGGAGGGAGAGATGGGCAAGCATTTTCCTCCTTCTGCCCCTCCTTCTCAAGAATGCCTCAGAGAGATCACCCAGGCGGACCTGAAGCCTTTCATAGGGTGCCCCAGATGGCTTTTGGGGGAATCACGTCCACTAGACACATCCACCAGCAGCCCCCAACCTTTTTGGCAACAGGAACCAGTATCATGGAGATAATTTTTCCATGGATGCGGTGGGGCGAGGTGGTTTCGGGATGATTCCAGCGCGTTACATTTATTGTGCAGTCAGACCTCTCTGCTAATGATACTCTGTATTTGTAGCCGCTCCCCAGCGCCAGCATCACCGCCTCAGCTCCACCTCAGAGCATCAGGCATTGGGTTCTCACAAGGAGCGAGCACCCTCGCTTGCGCAGTTTACAGTAGGCTTCCTGCTCCTTTGAGAATCTAATGCTGCCGCTGAGCTATCTGACAGGAGGCGGAGCTCAGGCAGTGATGGAGCTATGGGGAGCAGCTGTGAATGTGGGTGAAGCCTTGTGGGCTCCCCACCCTTACCCCCACCACTCACCTCCTGCTGTGTGGCCTGGCTTCTAATAGGCCACAGACTGGTACCAGTCTGCAGCCCAGGGGTAGGGGACTGCAGCATTAGACAGATTAACAATTCTTGGCTGCTTCCAGTTAAATTGCTAACCTGTGAGGCTGGCATCAAAATTGCCATTTTACTTATCAAATTGAGGCTCAAAGAGGTGGAATGACTTGCCTCAGCTCAAAGTGACAGAGCCAGCTTTTGAACCTAGGTCTGTCCTGGTCCAAAGCCTGTGCCTATGTCCCTGTTCTGCTGCCTCTCTTCTAAGTCCCTTCCAAGTCCACAGAACCATGTCTCAACAGTTGAAAGGGCATGTAGGAGTCTCTTGATCCCATTCAAGATCTGATCAGCTCTGACATCTCCCATGCAAGTAATCAGTCCCTGTTTGAATACTTCGGCAAGGGTGAAATCATCACCTCATGCAGCACCCACCAGAATGCTGGCAGGACTGCAGAAGAGGGGGTGGTAATGGCCATTACGAGCAGAAGGCAGACCTTAGCTGGGGACACTCTCTGTGCCTGGAGGAAGGAGAAAGGCACAGAGAAACAAGGATACACCTCACTTGTGTGGCACCACCGTGCACAGGCCAGCCTGCTGGATTTTGGTGGATGCCTCCTGTCCTGCCTAGACCTGAGGGTGCTCAAAGCCTGCCACTTCCAGGGACCTTTCTCAGGCTTCCCAGAGGAGGGGTGATGTAGGTCACAGCTGTGGGCTGAGGAGCTCACTCAGGGTTGTGACATGGGTCAGGGATTCCTGCACTGCCTCCTCTTCCCTGGCTAGGTCCTGTAATTTACACTCAAATGTGCATAGGTCTGTGGCCCTTTATTATTCAGAAAAACAACCCTGGCTGGGGAGTGCTGTGCTGGGACTGCAATGGAAGGCAGTGGCAGCCAACTTATTATGAGCCAGGCACTGTGCTAGCACTTCTCATATTCTTCAGTGAATCCCCATGGTCCTTTAAGGTAGAAGCAACTACATTTATAGTTTGAGGAAACTTGTATCCAAGGTTTTTTTTTTTTTGAGACAGAGTCTCACTCTGTTGCCCTGGCTAGAGTGAGTGCCATGGCGTCAGCCTGGCTCACAGCAACCTCAAACTCCTGGGCTCAAGCAATCCTCCTGCCTCAGCCTCCCGAGTAGCTGGGACTACAGGCATGTGCCACCATGCCCGGCTAATTTTTTCTATATGTATTACTTGGCCAATTAATTTCTTACTATATAGTAGAGACGGGGTCTCGCTCTTGCTCAGGCTGGTTTTGAACTCCTGACCTCGAGCAATTCTCCCGCCTCAGCCTCCCAGAGTGCTAGGATTACAGGCGTGAGCCACCGCGCCCGGCCCATATCCAAGGTTAAGTGGTGAGAAGGAGACAGCAGGATTTACCACATGCCTCTGGGGCTTCAGGCTTGTGCTCCCATCATTTGCTATGCTACTTCACTACCCCATGGCTGTGTCCTCAACTTTGCTTAGGGGGCCAGTGATAGTGCCGATGTCATCCTGGCCGGTAGGGCTCTGCTCCAAGCTCACACCTCTCTTGGGTCTCCAACTCAGATGGAGCTGAGGCTCTGACACATCAACCCTTCAAGCATGCTGGAGAGAGTGGCTTTATTATTAATCACTGGCGTCCCCAGGGAAGGGCAACTCTCTTCCCAAAACGCAACCTTTCTAGAAGAGAAGTATCTTTCCAACTACTTCGCTTCTAACTTCAATCTCCAACCTCAAATGGTTCTTATCACTGCAATTTTTCTTTTCTTACTAATAAAACAGTTAAGACAATTGTCCATTTTGTTTTATTTGTTAAACTGCTAAAAAGTCATCAGGGGGAAAACATTAACAAAAAATGAAGTTGACAGATTTAAATATCAATGAAGTCCATTTTCATTCCTACACTGTTATGTGCCTAAAATGACTATCTCAGGGTAAGCCACCTGGCATCCCTGAGTTGTATGGGAAACATCACTCACAGCACCAGCTTGGCCAGGGCACCATGGGCGTGCACTGACATGAACCCTGGTTGGTGGGAGGGGAGCAGAGCGAGTACAATGGAGCCAACGCCTAAGGTCTGCTCTCATTAGACAATGAACATGGTGAGAGGGAGCCACTTACTGGTGACCATGCAGAACATGCCTTCTGCAACTCATGGGGAGCTGTGTGGGACACAGGCCTTGAAGTTCAGCTTCCTTGCCCCTGGGTGTGTTCAGATCCTCCCCACCCATTTGTGTGCTGGTAAGAGACCACAGATAATGCAAAGCAGAGCACTTCAAAATGCCAGGATCACCACAAGGACGAGGACAGACAGACACACCAACCAATCACTTCTAAGGGGAAGGAAAAAAGCAAAGCAGAAGGAAACCCAGAAAGACAAGGTGAAAGGAAAGGGAAACATCCCTTTGTTCTCCATTGGCTGGTAGCTTTCTGTCCTCCAAAGTCAAGACTACTTAAGTTATTTTTCCTTCTTCCTCTTCCTCCTCTTTTCTTTAAAGAATTCCAACACAGTTCCTAGAATAGTTCATGGTTTCAGCTCTTGCTATAAAACTCAAACATTAAAATCAAATAAATCCACAGAGGGCTGGGAGGAGATTTTAAGGCTCAGTATTGCCTTAAAATGAAATTTAAGTTTGTTTTGATACCTAATTTGTGTTCCCCAAATAGGGTAGGGTGAGGTTGTGGAGTCCAACCACCCAAGTGTGGAAGAAGAGTGAAAATGTAAATGAAAAAACAGAACCCTTTCTGCTGCATAACCTGTAAAATGAGAAAACAGGAAGCTCTGTCCAAGAAAGTAGTAGGAACAGGCTAAAATTCTTACATGAGTTCAATAAGGAGGTGGCCGGTGAAGTCACTAGCACATGGGAGCTCTCCAAGGCACACTTGCAGGAATGGAAGGGGTTAAAGCTTCAAGTAGCAACAAAATGTATTTTAAATATTTAAATTCTGATACACATTTGCTTTAGGTGCTCCTGAGGGTTTAAAAAATTTTTTTGTCTCATTTTCTCAATTTTAAGACAAAATTGGTATCATCTCAAAAATGGAGTTGTGGTTAAATCTGATCTAACTGCAGCATCCACGTGTTGCAGAAATGCTCACCTCAGTTGAGACACCTGAAGTTCCATTGCACACGTGGCTTTATAAGGCCTGAGGAGAAAATCACCTTGACAGTGTTGAGCTGCCTTCTCAAGGTACACACCCACAGTGCCCAGGAGCCACCAAGACCAACACCAATGCGTACAGACGAGGCAGATTTTTCTTAAAGAACTGTAAGTGGACAGTCTGGTTCCAAGCAGTGTGGGTCACACCAGGATGGCATGGAGTTCAGAGGAACCAGATTTCTTTCTAAGAAAATCAACATCTCGGTTGCCTGTCCCCTTGGGGGGAGTAGAAGGAATCAACAGGGTAACAGCTGGCTTAGGAAGGCCACAGGACAAAGAAAAAGACTGAAATTGAGACTGAACTCTCAGGCTTCCAAATACTTTATATTTCAACAGGAACTGAGTTTGGAGGCACTGTCCATGCACAAATGCAATGTCATAAAAAAGGTTCAGCAACAGCAATAATGCCTAAATTGCTAATCTTTGGGGCTAATTTTCCCTTATAAGTAAGGACCCCACATGATTGAACAGTCTTTGCCAAGCAAGGCTGGCAACAGTGCCAGAGCCCCAGAGTCTGGAAAGCAAAGTGTGGAGCTTCAAGCAGTTGGACACCACAGTAAGTAGGCACATGGTTGTTTCCTCATCCAAGGGAGCATGGAGAGCACCTTCTGGAACACATACCTCTCCCTGCGAGCTGGCCCTTTCCTGGGCTTGGCACCAGGGCTTCTTTCCTACCGAGACCACACTGTAAAAGCTAATGACTAGGGAAGAGACTCAGCATGATGTAATAGGAGAAAACACACTCATGGGACAGACTGCTAAGTGTTGGCTGAAAGCCAGGACCCAGGGCCAGCTGCAGCAGGCTTGTGCCTGGGAAACGCTAACAAGGAAAAGGGGAGTATGAGAGTGGGAAACGTGATATTTTGAAATTTAAATCCAGAGGGCAAAACAAAAATCCTCTTTCCACTGATGAGAAATTACCAAAAAACCCACATTTAAATGGTGCCATTTGAAATAAACTTATTTTGACATCCTCTGTGTCCAGGCCATGGTCTGAACACTAGCAACTTGTAACTTTCTGTATCAACCAGAGAAATGCTCTACTTGGTTGCACCTGAATCTCAGAAATAAAGTGGAAGTAAAAACCCAGTCCCTGTTTGGGGGACACATGAACATGACAAGCACAAAGGATGGAGCTGCTCTCAAGGGCAGCCATGCATCACGAATGTCAAGTACATGATATTTGACTTCATTGCCTGTCAGATAGCGAGGGAGAGGAATATATGTCACAAGGAGAAAACACATTTCTGGAAAGAACTGTTACTGGGATGCCCTTCCAGAATCAACTTCCACATAACATAAATATGGGAAGAGTGTGCCCAGTGTGCGCTGGAAATATAAACAAGCTCACAGGGAAAAAACAGTATCTTTTGATGCTTCACAGATTTCTCTAATTCCCTAATGGCCCCCGAGCGATATCAGGGTAAGGGTTCCAGAAATATTTCTAAGAATCATCCAATTTTTCTAGGCACATGAGCTTTGTCAAAGAAACAGAAAGTAAGAAAAGTTTTAGGGCCTTTAAA